CCACACACCCACTCCCTGTTTTAACATGGTGACAGCTTTGGGTGCTAATCTGTGAGGAAAATAATGAGGATGGAATGCAGAATTGTTTTTCTCTAACACATGATTATTATANATAGTCAGTCTGAGATGACCTACATGGCATTTAAAAAAAATTGGGTATATTGAGATTTGTGACAACACTGGATAAACCTGTGTGTACCTCGCAGGTAGGGCTGGGCGATATGGTCTCTAAATGATATCGCGATATTTACTGACTATATCACGATATACAATATATATCGCGATATTCTGAAATGTCCTCTAAAACAAATTTTTTTTAAAAATGTAACCCCTTGATGTTTACAGTCACGCCAGTATGATGATTCTAGTAGTCCCTGCAACATATGTGTGCATTAAAAAAATTGACTAATAATGAAGAAAATTAACACATTTGTTGCAATAGTAGTTTATGCACTAACTACATTACTACTTGTACTACTAGTACAAGTAGTAATGTAGTTAGTGCATAAACTACTATTGCAACAAATGTGTTAATTTTCTTCATTATTAGTCAATTTTTTTAATGCACACATATGTTNCATCAACATGCTGCTCTTGATCCCATTTATCATCTTCCCTGAAGGACTGATCTCAAAAGACACATTTCCATGTCAGGGTGTCACACACCCCTCACTCTGTATTTCTCTACCTCTCTACATCTTGTATTGACTCACCCTCTCTCTGCACATTGCTCTGTAAACCTCCCACAGAGACACACTCTGCAGTGGGGATGTTACTCACAGAGGTTACACACCTTGATCCAGCCGAGGGGGCGGTTGCTTGTTCTGTGGGTAGGTAGCAAAGCATTCTCCTAAAAGCCTTTTGCTGAATGGCTTGCTTAAATACGAAGAACAGTGATGTGAACGTTTTCACAAAAATATGATTTTACTTGTAGACAGGCTTAGCTCACACATGCCGATCCGCACTGTAAATATCGGTTTTAGGGACAAGGTTGTTGGAGTTACATGAGAAACAAACAAGATGAGATGTGCAACTCGTCTTTTACCAGCAGCTAAAGTATCACTACAACAGTAACAAGTACAGTCTATGTTAAAAAGTATGTGTGCTTCTTATCTACCCTCTCAAATCTGACGTGAAGTAAGGACTTGCAAAGACTTCGACTTAGGCAAACAAAAGCATTTCACTCTGGATTCATGGTGTATAAAATGGCAGTGGGGCTTTTAAATCTGGTAGAGCAGGTGTTATGGCTGCTGGATTTGGAACCCCCCATGTCAATCTGGCAAGGATGGTCAAATCATACTGGTGAAAGTTACTCTCCTTTAAGCCCCTGTCACACTGTCCCGAAATTGACACCAGATGGACACACGATAAAGAACATTTTCAAATTCGGCTCTGATTGTAACAACATCGGGCCATTCGTGAGGGCATATTAAAAAGGTCCCATGTCATGGCCATTTCTACTGATCATAATTCCATTGTTGAGGTATACTAGAATATCTTCTAATTTACATATAAAGATGGAGAAAGTAAAGAATAAAGTGAATGTTTAAATGTTAGCACCCCCCGAAGAGGCACAAGCTCTTACGTTGAGTCTGGATACATTCTAAATCATCAGTAAAGTCTACGACAATATTTTCGTGTGTGGCTCGGGTGCCATTGTGTGGCCTTCTGTAGGTATCGTACTTGCTTCGGCTGTTTCTTGGCTGTTTACCAACTTCGGGGCCATCTTCGTGCGAAATTCACAATTTCATATTTGTGTGTCCATCTGGTGTCAATTTCGGGACAGTGTGACAGGGGCTTTAGAGGTGAATGGAACAATTGCTATTAGTAGATTTTTCCAGATGTGCATATCATATCAAAGAGTATTATAAAAAAAGGCTAAAGTTACAGTTAATCCAAACACGCTATGAAAAGTTGTCTTTAAATGTTAATGGGAACCCTAATAACATATTTAATTTAACATGAAGAAATCTGATTTGTGTAAAGACTTGTGTCAAGTATTGGTAAAGATATGGGTTCACAACAATACATGTGTACACACAGTACACAGACACGTTTTGAAATGACTAACATTTTCCAGAGATTATGATGAAGAATTCCGAGGAAGCTGTTCGGTTTCTATGGGACATGGTTTCATGTAAAACCCTGCTTTTACTGGTGATGATAATTATACTGTGAAGTGATATTTTAAAAGCTGTCTTTTGAGGAACGTGTGTATTTTCCCTGGTTGATAGTTTCAAAGTTCAGTAAATAATGATAATTGCAGCTAGGTTATGTAGGCCTGCATACTATATGTGCATTTTAATGATATCCAGTAAAATATGAAACTGCTTCCAGAATTTTTTTTTCCCTTGAGCTGCAATTCTTATAATTCTTATCCTTATATTATTATTAATTCTGACAGTGTTTTTAATGTAACACCATCCAGTTACTGAGTGTATTTTCAAACTAATTAACTATTACTCTAGTTGCTCTTTCTTTGTTTTATACTGTTTTTGTAGACAGCTACACAATGAACCCAACAATCCAGAGAAAGTCCCTACTGTATGTTCTCCTTTAGCTGCCAATTCATAATCGTTCTCTTTCTCCACCTGATCTTTGAATAGAGATGACTGACTTGTTCTCTGTTTATCGCAAAGCAACACTGGACAGTTATAAGTCACACATGACTTCTTGAAATTAACTGTCTGAAGAATCTGAACACTGGTCATTTTAGGCAATAAAATAACGTAATGGAGAAATAACCCAAAATGTAGACACTAACCATGAATTCAATGGAATTGATCATTGCACATATGAAACAGTATAAATCTAGTGTTTCAATGCAGCATCAACTCTAGACATGTAGGAACAAGGTTGTTGGAGTTGCATGAGAAACAAACAAAAAAATATATAGGAGAATGGACCTCATTTACAAGTAAAGGTGTGAGCATGCAATACAGATTTTAATTTTTGTTGAATTAGTATGAATAGTGGAAGTGTATTCTCCAATAAAACTTGAATCGAAAACCACACTTGCCTGTAGTCCTATGCGTGACGTAAAGAATAGCGTTTTAAAATATGAAACTTACGGTCGCCTATCCAATAGCCTATTGTGCAACATCCCAATTGAATATGATATCTCTATTGGTTTCCTATTGGTGGAAATCAGGCTCTGATTCTTGCCTGGTCCTCCCCATCCAATATTATTTCACACACATGATAATACACAAAAATGATTTGCTTAGTGAAAATGACATGGTTGCTAAATGTAATGTTGTTAGTTTTCTCCTCCCCCTGCTGTTCGAATCCACACATGAACATAACATTAAACTGCTCCACTGAGACTCTCTTTGAAAAACAACAGTCATTTTTTTTTTTTAAAAGCTTAAAGATAATTAGTAAAAAGACGGCATTTTATGTGCTGTGAGAAGGATTTTTTTCTGTGGGAGTTTCACTCTGCTTAATGGATGACTGCATTAGAGTATTATCCAGAACCCTCCGTAATTAAAATTATTTAAATCACTGAAATTAGTACCAGTGAAATTCCCAAGATAAGACATCCATCCAACATTTTCTATTTAATACATAAATTATGCATTTGTGTCTACACAATTTGCCAAGCTTGCAGAACAGGAAACAAATGGCAGTCTGAAGCATTCATAGAATATACATGAGCATAAAAAAAGAAGAAAACCACAAACCCACACTTCATGTCAATCAATAACATAACAAAAGGAAAACAATTTGGGCTTCCAACTTATAAATGAAACACCAAGGAACCGATTTCACTGATTTAGACCCATTGTTATCATTAATGCTTTGGAAAAATGTTAAAGCTCAGTTATAGTTACCTGGGCAGCAGAAAAAAACTAAGCAAGGGCTACGTTTTGAACTGTCTACACATCAGAGTCAGTACAGCCTGAACAACTTTCAAGAAAAGGATAATACAATTCTACGTACCCTTTTTTAACTTGTCTACATTTATAAGAACATTTCATGCATGTATATATTTTGTTGTGTTTCTAACTAACGGAACAGACAGGAGGTATGTTACATGAAACTATCGGCATATCAGTTGGAGAGAATCGGAAAGTTAGGACTAAAATTATCATAAAACTTTCATAGTGCTATTTCCTATTATTCATGCTCACATCGAAACTGTCTCCCTCTCCAGAAGGTCCAGCAACAATTCTAGCAGATTATTCCCCCCCTCCTTCATGACATTTGTCACCTTCTCATTCTTTACCGTCCCTTCCCCAATAATGAAAGTGTGCTGTCACAAAATCATATATTCAATCATATTCAAATGCCTTCATAAATATTTATCAAAAATAACAAAGGAGACACATTTTGTGTATCCCTTACTGCTTGTTGTAATCGTACAACCGAACTGAATGGGAGAGACACCGAGAGCGATTCCATTTTTGAATTATTTTAGTGACTTGAAAAACTGATGTGTAATATTAGACATGTTATAGATGTGGAAGCATCACACGTTGTGGTCAATAACAAACTTCTTACCTGCATTGTTTTTGCTTCACATCATGACTTCAGTTGAGATGCTTATTCCCCCATATATGTAAGCGCTTTGAGCACCAGGTGCTAAATAAATAACATGTATTATTTAATAATGTATTGCCTAAAGCAATTTAGTCCCCCATGCTCATTATGACTCTCCCCTCCTGTCTCATGTTTGTGTTGCTGGACAGATTTCCTCATGTCTCACCTGACCACCAGGCTTCCTGCTGCTCTGCACACCTGTTCCCAATCATCCCATCAGTCTCCTCCCCTGCCTGTCTCCCAGCTGCACCTTATTAGCTAACGAGTCTCCCAGCACTTAGATTTCCCTTCAGGACTTTGTCACATTGTTTCAGCCTGCTGTCATTTCTGCACTTTACCTGATTACCTCCTTTTACAGTTGACTATGTCCTTTTGCGTGCTTCTTCCCACATTTTCTTTGCCTGATTTTTTTCGAGTGCCCCCCTGCAAAACGATTAAATATAATTGATGATGCCTCTTGTGCTTTCTACAAAATGATATACCAGCATCACATGAATACGAGAACCGTACATTATGCCTTTAATAGTCTCTCAAGTATAATTAAACTCATCTGATTTCCCTATCATTTAGTTATGAACATTGAAGGGTATATTTAGTAAGTGTTAGTCACACATTCATAGAAAACTGTGAAACATGAGTGATTGATATCAGGTGTGAGCAGAATAAAACATTAATGTGTTGTTATCCTTGTCAGATATGTGAAGGATGTTTTGTTTGCATTAAATCCTCATTATTTTCCTCACAGATTAGCACCCAAAGCTGTCACCATGTTAAAACAGGGAGTGGGTGTGTGGCTGTGATCTTACTGAATCTCTGCTTACTTCCTACTCACCGTTTATATTACCCAAACATTCACAGCATGAGCTGCTCTCTGACTGTTTCCCTTTTTAACTTGAAATAGCAGCATGACATTAGTGAAAGTAGGAGCCACTGAATCAGTCCATTTGGCTGAGACTGCCAAGGCACACNGATGAGAAGCACACTGATTTGTTGTTGTTATGGTGGTTAAGGAGAATGTGACATGAGCTGCTGGTAAAATGTGTGTTTTGCACATCTACAACTCACACTTATAGTGGGGACTGGTTAGCTAAGCCAGTCTTAAATAAGAACATCTACCTGGGAACACATTCATCCTGTCCTGAGTAATATTGTATGGAGCCCAGCTAATATGCTCTATTGTCTCTACCTCCGCAATGAACAAGCAACCACCCCCTCGGCTGGATCAAGGTGTGTAACCTCTATGAGTAACATCCCCACTGCAGAGTGTGTCTCTGTGGGAGGTTTACAGAGCAAACTGCAGAGAGAGGGAGAGTCAATACAAAATGTAGAGAGGTAGAGAAGGACAGAGAGTGAGGGGTGTGTGACACCCTGACATGGAAATGTGTCTTTTGAGATCAATCCTTCAGGGAAGATGATAAATGGGATCAAGAGCAGCACGTTGATGTTGTTCTGCCTCAATGACACAAAGAGTCAACAGCTGCTTGTCTTGCTAAAACCCTCTCATCAGCCTGACTGCCCTCCTGATATTCAGTCGTGTGCATACATAAACACACCCATAAATACACACACACACACACACACACACACACACACACACACACACACACACACACACACACACACACACACAAAATATAAATCTGAGCTGCTCTTAAGGGAATAACCTTATATTGAGAAATCGATTCAACAATGGAAGCTCATCAAATACCTTTTATATATTTGTCTTTATGGATAGTCGTAGCCTATCATGATAAATTATTACATGAAAAAGACAGACATTTAATTACAGAATAATGTGGATAATTTGGGGGATTTGTATGGTCGGAGGGGGTTCTCTCTAATCTACATATTATTCTGTTGATCAATTCCCTCCAATTTACAATGCAGCATTTCTTCATAGCTCACAAGGTATGACTGCTGGAGAGCGTGTGCATCCCTGGTCATGATAGTGAGACTAAGAGTAACCTAATATCCCACCAATTTGCTCAGAGATGTAAAATGTTGTTTTTGAGAAGACACATTAAGCAGTCTAACCACATTACCTCTAAGCAGTGAAATGGAAGGAAAAGAGAAAAACTCATCAGACTGTAGAAGTAACTTGAACGTGAGTTGAAGTTATAATGAAACCCAGCAAAGTGTTGTTGCTCCAGTTCTGCTCTGATCCCAGAACAATCAGTGTATTCTGTCTTGAGTGGTCCGTAAGTCATACTTTGACATCTTTGAGCGATCAATCATTCTGAATAATGTTCTCCAACTTGTTTATATGTCAATGCTCTGGCTGTGCATCACATTTGGCATTCTCTATATCAGTTTCATATTACAGTGAATGCAGGCATTGGATGTTTGAAAGCTCCCATCAGGGCTGTTTGTATCTCACACTGCTGATGGAGCTCTTACTGTATTGGAGTTGGCAATATCTCCTCTTCTGCAGAGTAGTAGTAGTAGTAGTAGTAATGTGTGAGGAAGGTCTGTATGTGTGTGATGAGCTCAGCTGAGAATAGTTTTGACATCCAGGCTTTTAACATTTTTTTAAATCAGATTTTCAGTTATAGAGTAAAATTACATGAGATGATATACAATGTTTATGTAATTCCTTCCGACATAATTCATTTTAAAGCATTTTGAACTTATTAATGTTGTGCATGATGTACTTTTGCAAACTGACGCAGTATTAGATAGATTTTAAATTGTAAATATGTGCTTCTATCATTAAAACACCCCCCTCTTACATCAACAGAAGAAATAAACTGTGGAAGAAAAGGCGTGAGAAGAGAAACTAAATGATGACAGAAAATACTATGACGAGGGTTTGAATATATAAACAGAGATTATCTTAAAACCCTGATATGCTTCACATTTATTTGTCTAACTCACAAAGCTCCACTAACTGATATATTACTTTTGTGAAACATTCTTTATGAAATTCTGGGAGGTGCAGACATAACAATACAAAGTTGAAAAAAAACAAAGAAATAATCTTTTTTTCTCCATAATAAATAAAGAGTTATAATGTGTTGTATGTCGTTCAGTTAAAAGTATCCACACGTATGAATACTCTCAACTGTTGGTGTATTTTACAAAATGAATCATATTAGCATATTTCCTCCACACTGCTAATGTGGTCATGCAAATGGCTGAAATACTCAGTGATATGAAATATTCATGATGCAGTTTTTACAACTTCCAAATGTGACAGTCATTTATCTCTCTGCGATAATTCCTTTATTATCAAGTCCTTATTTTTATGTGTGTCTGAATCCTCTTCAGTCCCAGCTGTGTTTTATGAAGTTCTTGTGCAGAGGCTGAACTGGGCTTCATTTCTTTGTCACAGCGAGGTGAAGAAGAATTCTGCTGGTTGCAGGTTTTAACGGATGTGCAGTGTCTTAACCATTCATTCAGTCTCAATAAGCTTTTTCCATTTCATTAAAACATCCAAGAAGAACCTTTGCAGGACACTTTTAGGTGAAAAAGCTTTACCCCCGCACTCTGGCTGTACTTCTTTATAACCCTTGGACTTAGTCTTGCTGATTGTTTTCGTATAACTAGACTAGAGATTACTTATATTAGAGATACTTATTCCATACTTTATAATTTAGATGACCAAATATGTACATATGCTGACAGTTATTTTAAAGTTTTTTACTCTTATTTTTACTCATCTCCGATTTCATAGTCTTTTATTATTATTTAAAAAAAATTCTTGATTTTATTATTTTTGATTTTATTAATCTGTGTGAATCTTTGCTGTCCTGTGTTTTCACGCTTACCCTGTTGCTGCTTTGTACAACTGAATTTCCCCTCGGGGATTAATAAAGGTTTATCTTATCTTATCTTAGATGTATGGAAAACATTTAGCAAATACTTTGATGTAATGCAATTGACTCTTAACATTGTCCATTTCATTAAAAAATGTTCAAACAGTGCTGAGATAACTTCCGGAACCTGGGGCTTTACTTAAAGAATTTTTTTTTAAGTCTTCTCATATTCTCAACATCAAGTATTGAAAGAAAACAAAACTTGTAAGGTGATATTAAAGTGTAGGTGAATAAACAAGGTCTTTGTAGAAAACAAGGCCCTAGATACAATTTCATAGTTGTGGCTTTATTGCTGCAGCTAAATGACTCATGGGAGTGAATAAATGGGTGGAAAATGGGCTTTCATTAGGCCAACAGTTTTGCTCAGGAACAATTATGCGGGCCTGCTCCTAATATCGCTATCACTGAATGCTTGAGACCTGTTGTTGATTTGGGTAATTGTTTTTTATAAAAGACTTTAAAAGAACAAACAAAAGTGTGTGCTCTACCAGCGAGACACACTGCTGTAGAACAATAAACCAGTTAATGCAACGATTGAACAGTGTTTCTGTTGTATGATTATCCAGCATGCTGAAGATATTGCGGGGAAAGAAAAACATTACAAATCCCCTGTGGGTGTACACTGAGCTGAGCCAGTGTTAATAGTTTAACAGCCATAGCAGACTCAACAGGGTAAAACTAGCAGGCAGAGGGCTTTTGAGGTGGAATAAAGTTGTAACAGAAGCCAGTGTAGGAGGAACAAGTGTATAAGGTCATATTAATAGACCTTTTTTGGCATATTACAGGAATGGATTCCTATCCAAAGCAACTTACGGATACTTGAATACTATAGACATGACTACGGGAGCAAATTGAGGTTAGGTATCTTCCCCACGGATACTTTGACATGTTGACTGCAGTGGGTGTCAAGGTGGGATTGACCTTTTGTCCTGAAATACTCGTCAACACTGTTCTTGCTTGAGGCCTTTACAAACTTTGTTTAATTGTATAAGTACAGTCCAGTACATGTGACATTATTGTGTGCACTGGCAACCAACGACTGATTGAGTCGTATGTTTTTAATAGACGTAAGGGTTACAAGCTTATATAAAAGAGACTTGTGTGCTGAGCTGCCAGTGGGTTTTTATATTTGAAATCTGTTTACTCCTCTGTATTGTCTTTGCCTCCATCAGTATTCATAAGTCTCAAACAATCTTTTTGTCCTCCATTGCTGCAGAGTCACCAGTGGGTTAGTTAATTACAACCTCTCTTTGTCCTGCACAGGATTTTTGTTTTTGTTCTTCAGCACAAGGCCATTCAGTTTATCAAGTTTGCATCTTGAATTCAATTCCTCTGACTTCACACACTACATGCAACTCTTTATTCCTGTGTACAGGTGTCGTATGAATAATGTACAATCGCAAGCATGGATCAAATAAATAAATGAAGGAATTAGTTTCTACAAGGTCTGTCTGACTTCTCTTCTCAGAGACAAAATACTGTACAGCACACTCAACCTTAACCCAGCAAAATACTGGCTCTAACAATAACCTTTCATCCCTTTTGGTATAGGCAAGTTCAGTCAGAGAGAATAATGTTTACTTAGTCAGCGTGAGGAAAGCTTTGTAAATCTTTTACATTTTCAAGACTTTTGTGGGCACTCCCCTCAACCTCCTACCATGCAGTGAAAAGTTGGCCTGAGGTCACATGACCATAAGCACAGCCCATCTAGGTGTGTCCCATTGGCTGATATGTGAGTGGACGTATATAACTGGTTATCTATTACATTTAAAATGTTGTTTCCTCCTCCATGTCTACGCTATATTATCAGTAGGCTAAAACATGCTAGTTTAATAATAAAGTGGTTCTGCATTCAAGTTTGAAGGAGTTTGACAAAATTAGTGAATGAAGAACAACATGAAGCGAGGCCTTTTACTAGCTGCACTGGAAAACATATATACATATATATTCTACAGAATGGTGAGATTTTCCTTCTGAAATAGGGCAACTTTTACATGAAAAACGCAATTTTATTTTGTATTAGTCGTTTTGTGTTGCAAGTCCATGGAATTTACCTGACAGACATTTTGATAAGTTACAGCAGGAAAGTCACAGGTGTAATTAATAACACTAACCAGGGCAGGGCAGTTCCAGGGCTTTGGTAATGTGTTAGCTCAGTAGCAATGCTTAATGAGACACTACAGGGGACACGATCCATCGTTATTCTTATTCATTATTACACCGTTGCTTCTCCTAAAGAGACTACATATTAATCCTGTTATAAAAACGTCTTGAGAGCTGGTGCAAAATGTCGAATATGTTTTTACCCTAAAGTTTTATTGAGCTAAATTTAGATGATCCGTTGTTTCTTCTGGTTAAAAGGGAAGAAAGTGGCACTTTGAGGTACTTTATTCAGACTGGCTGAACATGCTG